TAGTATGTGAACAATGTTATCAGTCATACTGTGCCCAATCCCACAGTGCACTTCATTTTGAGGCAAGGTCTCCCTTCTAGTTTCTGCTGCATGAAGTTCTCCAGGCTAGCTAGCCCTTAAGCTTTTCTTCCTTCCTTCCTTCCTTCCTTCCTTCCTTCCTTCCTTCCTTCCTTCCTTCCTTCCTTCCTTCCTTCCTTTCTTTCTTTCTTTTTTTGGCCAGGGGTGGGTGGGTGGGTGTGGTTCTCAATTAGTAGTAGGGATGTGTTATAGATGCATGCTGCTGTCTGTGATGGAAGTCAGGCTGTTTGGCAACCCACGTAACTATCTCCCCTAGTGGCTAGCTTTTTTGTTTTGTTTTGTTTTGTTTTTGTTTTTTGAGACAGGGTTTCTCTGTGCAGCTTTGCGCCTTTCCTGGAACTCCCTCTGTAGTCCAGGCTGGCCTCAAACTTAGAGAGATCCGCCTGGCTCTGCCTCCCGAGTGCTGGGATTAAAGGTATGCGCCACCACTGCCCGGCTTAAATTAAAATTTTAAGTTATCATAAAAACCATAGCTATTGTCACTAATTATTGGAGGAAGTTAAAGAGTTGGGATTGTTTCAATGATATTTGATTAGCATTCACTGATTTAGTTTTCAATCCCCAGTTCTGTGGGACAAGCGCTGGCCTTACATGCCCAAGGCCCTGGGTTCAATCCTCAGAACTAATCAACAACCAAGGGATCACAGAAGCCTAGGAATGTCTTAGGGTTTGGGTTTGTAGAGGACTTGCACAGTGGACACTTCCAAGCAGAACTATTCCATTGTCTTAAATTTATAACACCATCCCCTAAACACACACACAAACACACACACACACACACACACACACACACACACACACACACTGGTAGATTTCAGAGGGTGGCTTAAAAGAGACCAAAAGGCAGAAAGAGAGAGGCAAGTCTAACTGTGGGCAGAACCATGTTTATTGGCGGACAAACTGCAAGGGGACACAATCTCACTCACGTGGAGGGATGAGCCATACGTCCCACGCTATGAGGGGTGGTGGTGGTGAGAGAACGCCTCATACCATAAGAGAATAAGATAAGAAAATGACTCAGTCCATGCAGACAGAGGAGAGGATACTCCATGAAGAAGGAGGCTACGACCTTTATAGGGGTATAAATGACTACCTCACCTGTTATACGTTCCCTCCGGTAGTTTCTCAGTTCCGGAGTGCCCTCGTCTGGCCGCAAGGGAACCTGGGAGATGTAGTCTTTCAGCAGGAAACTATCGTTCCAAACTCTAGGATACAGAGAAAAGGAGCGCTGTTTTCCTGCTGAGGAGGATCTTTGTCAGAGGGGGTAGTTATGGGCCCATTGAAGTGTGTGTGGGGGGTGTCTTCTGGTCACTTAGCAAGAGGAGAGTTTTAACTTGATCGGCTGTGATAAATCAAGTTGTTGGAGGCGGGTGGTCCATTGAAGAGGCAGGTCCTCTGGTCACTTAGCAGGAGAGTTTAACTTGATCAGCTGTGAATGGATTAAGCGATTGTCGTCCTGTATTCCTAAAGAGACTTTTGAAAAAGAATTGTTAAAGGGCTGTAAGCAGTTGATTTTGTTATAGAGTAAAACTGAGAGATTTCCCTGGAACATTGAGGGAGGGGAAGGAGACAAGGCAGGGGAGACAAGTGTAACCCAGTGAGACTAAGTGGGCACGGAGTTGATTCAGGGTGACAGTGACTAGTCCTATTGCCAGGACTCCTGTGCAAAACAAGCTAGCAGAAGTAGCAGGGAACTACAGAGCATCAAAGGAAGGGAACAGGAGAGAGTAGAGGACAAATGTAAAGAATAATATTTGGACCCAGATGAAAGGGATGAAATTCCCTTTCAGCCAGTTTATTCACTTCATCTAAAAAAAAAAAAAGGTCTTTTTTTAGATTTGTTAGGAACAAATGGAGGTGTTGTAGGGTGAAAGTCGCTGGGAGAACTTACATGGAACATTCTGTTTGGGTATAGGGTGAAATTCAGTAAAACATGTAAAAGACAGGGTATACATTAAGTATGAGTATATTAATATATATATATATGTTATAGTATATAATAAAGGATGATAGAAGTTATTATTGGGAGGAACCAGAGTGGCAAGGAACCAAAAATTTTTTTTGTCTGGTCCCTGTGTCTTGTTCTAAGCAGAAGCATCTCCCTTACTCCCTCCCTCCCTCCCTCCTTCCCTTCCTTCCTTCCTTTCATTCGTTTGATTTTTGAAACAGGGTTTCACTGTGTTGTGTAGCCCTGACTGTCCTGGATCTTACTTTGTAGACCAGGCTGGCCCCTCGAACTCAGAGATCTGTCTGCCTCTGCCTCCTGAATGCTGGGATTAAAGACATGTGCCATCACTGCCTAGTAGAAGCATATTTCTTAACATCATTTTATTTAAAAATAGATTGGTGGACTAGAGAGATGACTCATGGGTTAAGAACACTAGCTACTCTTCCAGAGGTCTTGAGTTCAATTCCCAGCAACTATATGGTGGCTCACAACCATCTGTAATGAGATCTGGTGCCCTCTTCTGGCCTGCAGGAATATATGCAGACAGAACACTATATAAGTAATAAATAAATCTTTTTTTAGTTTTTAATTTTTTTTTCCGAGACAGGGTTTCTCTGTATAGTTTTGGTGCCTGTCCTGGATCTCGATCTGTAGACTAGGCTGGCCTCAAACTCATAGAGATCTGCCTGGCTCTGCCTCCTGAGTGCTGGGATTAAAGGCATGTGTCACCACCGCCTGGCTAAATAAATCTTAAAAAAACAAAACAACAACAAAACCAAAAACACACAGCTGTGGGTACAGTGACATCTAAAAAAAAAAAAAAACAGAATGGTTTAGAGGCATAATTTGTAAAGCCAGATAAGCAAATTAAATGAGCATTTGGTTTTTGGAATTTATTGGAAAACATCCACAAGTACTACTTCCAAAGCCTGTCTCCTTGTAGGCACTGGCCCTGGACCTCTCTGTTTCGATAGAGACTAGGTTATAGTCTCAAAGCACCACAGGTTGGAGAGACTCTCCTTCGTCTAAGTCATCTCTTCCTGAAGAATCTGAAGCTGTGGGACATCACTTAATAGAATCATTTGTTGACTCTACAGATATAAAACCAACTGTCAAAGACATGGCTTGGATATTCTGAATAACTTTCTCAAGCTGTGAGTTTGATGACAGAATATCTGGCATCTTTTTTTAATGAGAGAACAAGGGTGGTTAGGGTGAGGACCCTGGAATTAGCTTTTGCTAAGAGGAAGAACTGAATGCCAGGGTAGAAGTCATGGCCAATTAAACTACTATGCAGGCCTCACATAAGTCAGGTGGTAGGCTTAGGTACAAGGTCCCCCTGTTTACAGCACCCTCATATGTCAGTGCGGAGACATTGAGGGCAGAGTGTAATTGCTATTTGCCTCTCTGTTGTTTGAGACATTTAGGATGTGGGTGCAGACTCTGAGGTACTCCAATGGGTGAGAGAATCCATTCCCTTGTCACGGGTGACATAAGGAGTAATTCATCTTTAGATAAGGAGGGAGTTTTTTTGTTTTTGTTTTTTGTTTTGTTTTGTTTTTGTTTTTGTTTTTCGAGACAGGGTTTCTCTGCGTAGCTTTGTGCCTTTCCTGGAACTCACTTGGTGGTCCAGGCTGGCCTCGAACTCACAGAGATCCGCCTGGCTCTGCCTCCTGAGTGCTGGGATTAAAGGCATGCCCCACCACATCCCGGCAAGGAGGGAGTTTTTTGTTTGTTTGTTTTTTCCTGGTTTGGCCTGTATGGCCAGAGCTGGTCAGGCCTACATAGCCAGAGGCAGAAGCAGCAGACTTCTGGCAGGTCTTATTTCCCAGGCATCCTCGTCCCATAATGAGGTTAGCATGCAGCCTGTTCTGGTTGGATGACCTGTGCCCCAGCCAAGGGAACTACTTGGACATGAAGACTTCCTACCATCCAAGCCTATTGTAAATTTAACTCATTTTACTCAAGCATTCAATAATTCATAACTAGTTTTTTACACATCTGATATTGAACATTATTTTATATTAAATAAACTAAGTTTACTTTAAACTTGTTTTGAGTTACTCACGTTTGGCTTAATTTTGACAACAGAAGACTACATAATGGGAAATACACATTGGTATTGGTCTCTCCAAGCTTGTCTCTGCAAATGTGACACTTGTAGTTAGCATGACTGACTGTTAACTTGTCTTTCTTAATTATACTTAACAGTTTACAATAAATCAGTTAACTCATAAGTTATACACAGCCCGTTTTCTTGCTACATAGCCCAATCTGGCCTTGAACTACAGGGAACTGGCAGCTCTCTGTCTCCAGAGGACCTGACTTAGCAGGTGCACAACCACATTCAGCTTCTCCCTGAGACTTTTGTGCTTTCAATAGCCCTCTGGACCCAGGTTGAGTTATCAACATTGTCAAACACAAGAAAAAAAGACAGCTCAGCGAGATAGGAGTCGACTCTCCTGAGTTTCCCCTATTATGAGAGCACTGTCTGAAACGAAGGTCCCGGCTCTGTTTTCAAATTTCCTTTGCAAAGCAAGCAGCACTGTAGGTGGAGGCGGGAAACTCCAGCAGGAACCCAGGAGGTGAAGTCAGACTCGACGCCACGCCCCCCTCTCCCTGCAAAGCCCCGGAGGAGGAAGTGGGGAGGCCACCGAGACGAAGGCGGAGGCTAGGCTAGAGCGGCCAGGGCCGGCTGAGCAGGGACCGGCAAGGGGCGGGGACTCGGGGCGGAGCCTCCGGAGCGGCGCGGGCTCAGGTGAGCGCTCCTCGGCGGTGCTGGCTGGCTGGCGCCTAGAGCTCTGGTGCGGAAGCGGCGCGAGCTGCGGGGGCTCGGGTGGGAGATCCTGAGGAGGTCCGGGGTATCTAGCCAGGATCTGGCCTCGGGCCCGGCCTGAGGAGGGGAGGGGCTCTGGAGCTGGGGGCGAGTCGAGCGCCCGCCTCGGGCTGAGACTTGAGGGGTTTGAAGGAGGGGGCTCTGAGCCGGGTTCGAGGACCGACTCTTCCCTCAGCCTTCGTGTGACCTTGGATAAGTCTTTCTCTCCCCGAGCTTCTGCTACCACAACGATGAAATGGAAGCAGGACGGTCCGCTGAGAGTTGGTACACATAGAGGTTCGGCAAAAAAACAAAAAAGCCAGCCTTCCTCTCTGCTCTCTTCCTCAGCACCTTCTTAGGGAAACGTGAATCGTGGGAGCACCTAAGAGTCTGAGTGACCTTGGGCGAGTCCCTTGTTTTGACGTTTCTCTACAGATGTGATGGACTAAGCAAATAGCCCTGTGCTATTTTGATGTTACCAATGCAGACAGAAACAAGGCAATGGCCCTCTCGCTACACGTCTCTTAGGTTTGCGATAGAGAGGCTGTCTTTTCAGAGGGTTGACTAGATCTCAGACCCAATTCCCATTAATTCCTACAGCAGACTTCTGTTTGTTTTCCTCCCTTGGTAATTGGAGGAGTGATTCAGTGCAAGGGTTGGCACGCCACTCAGCTGAACAACAACCGGTATCTTCAAGGCCTAAAATTAAAGACCGATTTTAGGAAGCCTGACATTCTGGTTGTTTTGTGTTTCAATGGCAGGAAGGCAAGATGACTTCCCTGCTCCAAGATTGGAACAGCTGAAGAAACCACAAGACAAAATGAGAACTACAAAGGTCTACAAACTTGTCATCCACAAGAAGGGCTTTGGGGGCAGTGGTCAGTATTGATTGGTCTTTGGGGGTGTGTAAATTGGCTGATGTGATGTGCCCAATACAATGCCTTACAATTAGGAATATCACTATCGAGGCTAGACAGATAAATGAGTGAAGTCATAACAGATCAGCAGAATGGTTGGATCTGAGTGCACAAGATCTCTTTGAAAAGCATTCACATTCAGTTTTGTTGGTTGTATTTTGAATCTGGGTCTTACAGAATATTCCAGGCTCATCTGAAACTCACCTTGTAGCACAAGCTGGCCTTGAACCCATTGTCCTCCAGTCTGTGTATCTGGAAATGCTCTACCACATCTGACTTGATTTCCCTTCTGTCGTCCCGTCCTCCCCACCCCCCACCTACCCTTCTGTAATGAGATCTGGCACTCGATTCTGTATACATAATAAATAAATAAATCTTAAAAAAAAAATAAAATTAGATTCAAAATGGACGCTCAGGGAAAAGGCAGAACACTTGCTTACCTACTCGTTAGCCTTAGGTTAATTAACATCCTTAGCACCTTTATAAAATAGGAAAACAAATGGGGGCTGGTGAGGTGGCTCAGTGCGTAAGGACACTTGCTGCCAAATCCATTGACCTGAGTTCAATCCCTGGGCCCCATATGGTAAAGGGAGAGAACCAACATCTGCAGGTTGTCCTCTGACCTACATGCACACACATTTTAAAAAAAAACACCAAAAAACCCCAGAAAGCAAAAACCCAAATGGAGCCTCAATATAACAACAAAAGTAAATGTTGAGCATGGCCCCAGCAGTCTGGAGACAGAGACAGAAGGTGAGAGAGTTCAAAACCACCTTATGTAATGCGTCTGATGCCATCCTGAGACACATCAGTCAAAAAGTAAAAATAGTGCCAGAGTTGTTCTTCGAGATCCAGTAGTAATACCAACATGATGGGGGTGCCCTGTGTTTTCTCTCTGGTGCTTTTATTTTTTAGAGGGTATGTGCTAGAGATTCAGCCCAGCACCATAAGACACGCTAAGCCTATGGTCAACTACTAAGCCCATTTGCTTTTTAAAGTCGCTGAATTGTCTTTCAGATGATGAGCTAGTCGTGAACCCTAAAGTGTTTCCTCACATCAAACTTGGAGACATTGTGGAGATTGCTCACCCCAATGATGAATACAGGTGAGCAATTCAAGGATTAAGGGAACTAGACACCCAGGTGTATTCAAATACTATTTCAGGCTAGTCGGGGCTAAATTGTAAGATCCTATCTCAAAACAAAATAAAAAATGCTCTTGTTGTTTGATGGTGGTGGCATACACTTTTAATCCCAGCATTCGGAGGCAGAGGCAGGCAGATCTCTGTGAGTTCAAGGACAGGAAGGGCTGTTAACCCAGAAAAACCCTGTCATGAAAAAACCAAACCAAAATGCTCATGTCTAGGGCTGAAGAAATGGCTCAGCAGTTAAGAACACTGGCTGCTTTTCTAGAGGACCTGAGTTTGATTCCTGTATATGGCATGTCACACCCATCTGTAATTCCAGGCCCAGGGCATCTGATAACCTTTCTGGCCTCCTAAAGCACCAGGCATGCATGTGGTGCACAGACATACATGCAGGGTAAAACACTCATATACATACATTTTTTTTTTAAAAGGTTTTTAACAAATTATGTTCAGGTGTGGTGGTACATTCCTTTAATTCCAGCACTCAGGAAGTAGAGGCAGGTGGATCTCTTGAGTTCATGGTCAGCCTGGTCTACAGAGTGAGTTCCAGGACAGCCAGGGCTATACAGACAAACCCTGTCTTGAAAAAATTAAAAAAACATTTTTTTTAAAAAAAATATGTATATGTCTGTGAGTATGAGTGCTAGTGCCCTCAGAGGGAGATTCCCTGGATCTGGGGTTATAGACAGTTGTGAGCCACTTGAAGTGGAAGCTGGAAATCAAACTTGGATCCTCTGGAAGAGCAGCTAGTGCTCTCAACTGCAGAGCCATGTCTTCAACCTCACCAACAGGTTTTTCAAGTGGCCCATTTTTGTTTTTAAAGTTGAGGTAACAACTGGATTTTTTTTTTTTTTACTGGAGCTGAAGACCGAGCCCAGGGCCTTGCGCTTGCTTACTGAGCTAAATCCCCAACCCTACAACTGGAAATTTTTGTTGCTTTTGTTCATTTCCTCTCAGGCCAAGTGTAATGTCTTTGTTTCTAAGAAAGTTTTCTCTGGTTGTGGCAGAAGTTACAATGTGTACTACATTATTTATTTGCGTTTTGATGGGAGGTGGAGAAAGCTTACCTCCTGCAGTCTTGCTCATCTTTGTTGCTTTCTTTTCCAGTCCTCTGCTTTTGCAAGTCAAGTCTCTTAAGGAAGATTTACAGAAAGGTAAATATTACCTCTCTCTTTGGATTTTTATAGTTACTGTCTGAGAAACCAAAGAAACCTCTCTTGGGAATCTCAGGAAATAAGTACCTAGCAGATTGAGTTTCCTCTAGCAAAAAAGAAGACAGATAAAGCTTTTGGGGGTCAGTGACTACATTTGCAGACCTTGCCCCAGGAGCAATAGTTGGTATGTTTACTGTCTTCATTTACCTTTATAGCTAATTAAGCTGTAACCTCCCCCAGACGCCAAGTCAGTTATGAAAATTGCCAAAGAATCTCGTTTGTTAGCATGTTGCAGGCATCGAAGAAACTAAATTTAGAGACAGAGGAAAAGGTAATTTGAACATGGGAAGTTTTGTATTTAACTCCCCCCAAAATTACTGAATTTTCTTAAGTTTTTCAGAAAATATTTAAGTGTTTCAGAAAATATTTAAGTGATGATTGTGTTGCTAGTGATCTCTGTTTGGACTAGGTGTTTCTAGATTCTTCCTGTCTTATTTCAAAGAATCAAAGGGTTACATGCAAATTAAAAAGGAGCAAGGGCTTTTATTCAAAGAGAAAGTGAAGGTAGAGAGTGGATAAAGTTGCAAAAGCCTGAGCAAGCATGGGACTCCCAAGAACCTGGTTACTTCCCAGGGCTTGCTTTTGTGAATCTAGAAGAGTCTGGGTAGTTTTCTGTCTTGAGTGTTAAGCTTGGGTTATGTAACTGCTCCTGTTTTTTGTATGATGCATCTGACTTTAATCATGTGTGCCTGCTCGTACATAGGCATAGGGTGATAAATAGGGTATTTTCCCTAAAAGTTTACTCATAGAACAGTTTGCCCACTGTGCCTGCACTTTAGGGTACCAGACCCTGCCTCAAAAAAGGGGAGGGAATGAGGGATGCAGCCCATCTGTCAGCGTGCCCACTATACACTGAGCCCTGGGTTCCATCCATTCTCTGGGACTGTATAAAACAGGTGCGATGGTGCAAGCCTTGAATCTCTATCTCAAAAGAAAAATAAAAATAAAAAAAGCCATGTGTAGAGTCAAAGGCCTTTAATTCCAACACTCTAGAGGCAGAGAGGCAGGTCGATCTCTGTGAATTCAAGACCAGCCTGGTCTACAAAATGGTTTCCAGGACAGCTAGGGTTGTTACACAGAGAAACCCTGTCTCAAAAACAAACAAACAAACAAAACAAACAAATAAACACACCAAACCAAAAAAAAAAAAACACAAAAAATATTTGCAAATAAATAAAAATATCATACACTAAAATTAACCAGATCCAAAATCTGTATAACTCAATGAACTACTATATGGTTAGAATAGGCCTTTAGAAGGTTAGCTTGGAAATGTCGCATTAAATTTTGCATGTTTATTACCAAATATAATTTATGTACTTAGCCATCACCAAAACAAAACTTGGCCAAACTAAACCTAGAAAAACAAGTAGCTTCCTATCCTCTTTCATAACCATGTCTACTACCTGCATCCAGTCCTTCCTCAGGCCCTGGTATTCAGCCTTTCTTACTTTCTTCCTGGTTTATTGTAGCCAGATGTATATTTGTTTACATATATACACATACTATTGGCTAGGTTTTGCTTGAGAGAGAACATGCAGTTTTTTCTTCCTGAGTCTTTATTGTTGTTATACATATACGTACACATTCCTAAATACTTAAATACAACCTGCTCTGTCTTTATAATGTTACCTGTATGTACATGATCTCAGGGATGAACACTTGGTATTGGATAAGCAAATGGGACCCTGTGGACGACCATTTCTCCTGCTCTTAGCATTCCACAGTTGCCTGTTGTTTTTTGTCTATGGTTGAGATCCCGCAAACTTTCCCCCTTCCATATTAGCATGTTCATTGGTGTGTCATTGTTCAGGTCTTGTTTAGGCATCCATGTTGATGAAACTTCATGGGGGAGCCTTTCTGACATTTCTAGGACACACAATCTGATAGCTAACTTGCTGTTCTCCTGGCTCTTATAATCTTTCCGATCACTTCTCCACAATGATCCTAGAGACTTAGGTGCAGGAATTGTGATGTAGATGTGTAAGTTGGGACTGGACACCACACAGCCTCTTGTTCTCTGCATTTTGATCAATTGTGGGTTTCTGTAATGGTCTCTTTATCTGAAGACATAGTAAGACCCTGTCTTAAAGAAAAAGTTTCTTCCTACATTTACTTATGTAAGTATGTGTGTGGACACACATAGCGGGCAGGATGAATGTGTAGAAGTCAGAAGACAATTTCTCATTCCACCATATGGGTCCCAAGGATTGAAATCAGGTTGTCAGGTTTGGTGGCAAACCACTTTGCCAGCCCAGATAATGGGTCTTATCTCACAAACACACACACACACACACACACACACACACACACACACACACACACACACACGAAAATAGAGGAGGGACAACTGAGGAAGAGAAGACTGGGGACCCTCTCTTGTCTCTCGCATCTGATAATCTGGTCCTCTTCCAGAGTAGCTCCCCTGCTTTCAGGGTTTTGTGTGTGACCCAATGAGTTTTATTGGGATTTGTTTACAGAAGCATGGGGAGGATTTGTGTACAAGAGCATAGGCACCTTACCGTGGCTACACCCCTAGGAAAAATGTGTTTTCTTCCTTCATCAACCATTAACTGTGTGTAAATCTGCAGAGATGGCTGGGGCCTCATGAGCTCCTCCTTTCCTGACAGGGTGTTGACAGGCCTGATCTTGTGTAGGTAATCATAGCTACTGTGAGTTATATGGTGAAATTGTCATGGCATATCATATCCAGAAGTTAGCATCCCACACTGTTCTTCCCACTTCTCTGGCTCTTAAATTCTTCCTGCTCCTTCTTCTGTGTGGCATGTTCCCCTAGCCTTGTGGCTGGGCATGCAGCAATCATTTATTCTCAGTACTTTGACCAGCTATGAATCTCTGCTGTCATTGTTGACCAGTGCAGAAAGAAGCTTCTCTGGTCAAAGCTAAAGCAACACTAATCTATGGACATACACATGGTTATTCAGCCACTTTCAATGCTGTGTGCCTTTAATTCCAACAGAGGCAGGTAGAGCCTTGTGAGTTAAGACCAGCCCGTGCTACAGAGTGAAGTTCTAAGGCAGTTTAGGACTACATCGTGAGACTCTGCCCTCAAAATCAAAATAGTAATAAATAAAATATAAAATAAAAACATAGTAATTTAGAAAGCAGTTTGAGTCTGTGGCCTTACGACAAATGTACTCTCTCATCAGATCTTAGCAGCTAAGCAGAATTAGGCCCCAGTTAGTACTTGGCTGAAAGAAGTCAGTTTGAAAGACACATTGTATTCATTTAGTAAAACTACAGCAATAGTCTCCACACTGCTGCCTATGAGCTCCTTAACCACAGGCTTTTGCCCAGGTTTACAGTAGCAGAAATGAATTCCCTCCTATTGTATTGTCAGATTGGCTCCCTAACTGACTTCTACTGTTGCACCATTGGACTCATCCTACCTGGCTGGTTCCTGTTGTTGCATATAGGATCCATAGCTGAGTGTGACAGTTGACGATACCTTCCACCACCTTGAGGGCTAGTTAGCAAGGAGAAAGCTTCCAGCTCAGTTCTAGCTGGATTTCTCTGTTCCTTGACCAAGGCCAGAGGTACCTTCAAAAGTAAGGTCTTATTATCATCTAGTTTTGGGGAACAACCAACAGCAGTGACAATTGTTTGTGTTGTATTGAGACTCTGTAGAGTCTTCCATGACCAACAGTTTATAGGGAGGCAGCTCGTTTCTGCCACTGGGATTTGAACTTTTCTTACGTTGCTCCTCCCACGACCACCCAGGGCTCTAAACAAGTTCTGTGCACTGAGTTACATTCCCAGCCTCTAGATACTACTACTTTTTTTTCTCTTTCTTTTCCTTTTTTGAGGTAGGGTCTCTCTAAGTAGCCCTGGCTGTTCTTGAGTTTGCTATGTAGACTAGGCTGAGATCTACCTGTCTGCCTCCCCAGGTGCTGGGATTAAAGGCATGTACCACCACACCTGGCTCAGATTTTTTTTTTTAATGCTTTTCATTTTTAAATTTTTTTTGTTTGTTTGTTTTTAGTGATAAGGCCTCATGATCCAGGCTGAACTTGCTGTGTAGTTAGGATGGGTTTGAATTTCTAGTCCCCTATCTTCCCCCTCCAGAGTGCTGGAATCAAAGGCACTTACTATTCCTCATTTTTCCTCCTGTACCACCGCCTGGCCTCAAACTCACTGTGTAATCCAGGCTGGTTTTCAACTCGGGACAATCCTCATGTCTCAGTGTCCCAAGCACTAAATCAATCAATCTCTCTCTCTCTCTCTCTCTCTCTCTCTCTCTCTCTCTCTCTCTCTCTCTGTGTGTGTTAATGTGTTGGTGGTGTGTGTACCCATGCCTGCACAGGCTAGAAGTTGATGTTAGGTATCTTCTCTCCACCTTAATTTTAATTTTTTTGACAGTGTTTTTTGTTTGGTTTGTTTTTGAGACAGGGTCTCACTGTGTGACATTTGCTATTCTGGAACTCACTATGTAAAACAGGCTAGCCTTGAACACAGAGATCCACTTGCCTCTGCCTCCTGAGTTCTGGGATTGCAGGCATACACCATCATGCCTGGCAAGACAGAGTCTTTTGATGAGCCCAGAGCTCTCTGTTTTGACTAGGCTAATTGGCCACAAGTCCAAGGATCACTTGTTTCTGAACTCCATTGCTAACGTGCAGGTGTGTGCTGCCATACTTGGATTTTACACTGGTGCTGGAGATCAAGATTCGGGTTCTGATGCTCTTGGAGCAAGCACATTACTGACAATCACCTCTCTAGTCCCCAAGCGCAGGGTCTTAGATGTTTGCCTCTTTCTCCCTTATCTCTTCTCATTTCGACGCTCTGCTCTCTCTCATTTTCTTCCTTCTTCCCTCCACTAGCGACCTCAGGGACTCATATGTGCTGAGCATGTTTGCAGCCACTCATCTTTCTCTTTTAACTTTGAGATTGATTTATTTTACTTTGTGTATGGATGTTCTGCCTGTATGCATGTATGTGTACCATGTGTGCCTGTTGGGTGCCTGAAACTGGGGCTACCAATGGTTGTGAGCTACCATAGCATGCTGGGAACCCAACCCAGGTCCACTGCAAGAGTAACAGCTTCTCTTAACCGCAGAGCCATCTCTCCAGCTCCAGCTCTCTCTTTTGAGGCAAGGGCTGGTTAAGCAGCCTAAGGCAGGCTTTTCAGTCCTCCTTCGTCAGTCTCCAAATGCTAGAATTGTAGGGGGGGAAGCCATGACACCAGGTGCTGTTCATCCTGTAAGTGTTAGTTCTTCCGATTATTTGACTTGTAAAGTAGAGAACTATTTAAGATGTAATCTGGAAGGCAGAGGCCATAGCAAATGATCAAAATATATTAACTGAACTGATTTTTTTTTTTTTTAATTCAGAAACTATCAGTGTGGACCAGACTGTGACTCAAGTATTCCGGCTAAGACCTTATCAAGATGTCTATGTGAATGTTGTAGACCCCAAGGCAAGTCTTTGTTGTGGGTTAGCACCTATCCTCAAAGGTTAGGTCACTATGGAAATGAGGTTCTTAATACTTTTTTATTTTTGTTTTTGTTTTTGTTTTTCAAGACAGGGTTTCTCTGTGTAGCTTTTTGCCTTTCCTGGAACTCACTTGGTAGCCCAGGCTGGCCTTGAACTCACAGAGATCTGCCTGGCTCTGCCTCCCGAGTGCTGAGATTAAAGGCGTGCACCACCACTGCTCGGCTTGGAAATGAGGTTCTTAAGTGTAGTGCTATATTGTTACGTGGTCATATCTAGGTCATTTAAATATAAATATAAGCTTGGCTTAGTTAATATAAAAGGATGTATTTATAATTTGGTATTTAATTACTAATATTTTTATATATTCTGTCCATTTTTAAAAATTGTTTTATTATTTTAAAAAATATTTTTTGTCTTTATCTATCTATTTGAATGGTTGCCTGCATATATGTCTGTGTTTCACATGTGTGCCTGATGCCTAGAGAGGCCAGAAGAGGATGTTGGATTCTCCTGAAAATGGAGTTACAGATGTGAGCCACCGTGTGGGTGCTGGGAGTTGAACCCGGGTCTTTTGGAAAAGCAGTCAGTGTTCTTACCACTGAGCCATCTCTCCAGCCCCTCATATCTATTTTCTTTAAATGATTTATTATTTTTTAGGCAGAGTCTGCTGTTTAGCTCAGCTGGCATGGAACTTATATAGCCCAGGCTAGCCTGGAACTGGCAGCAGTCCTCCCTCAGCTTCCTGGGAGTAGAAGATACATCACTATACCTGGCTTTGCATTTGTTTCTCTCTTTTTGAGACTGGATCTCACAGTGTAGCCCTGGCTGTCCTGGAATTCACAATGTAGACCAGACTGGCCTTGAACTCACAGAGATCTGTCTGCCTCTGCCTCCACAGTGCTGGGACTAAAGGCGTGCGACACCACATCCAGATTAGATTTTTTTCTTTATTAGTTGATGCTTAATAGGCAAAAATAATTGTCCAGAGGGCATTATGTGCATTCTATTGTGATATAAAGCAGACAGCTCAATGGTATCTTTCAAGACTAAAACAGAAGGGCATGGTTGTGTGTATCTGTAGTTCCAGCTACCTATGCCAGGGCAGAGAGGATTGCTGGAGCTCCGAATGTGAGGGCAGCCTGGACAACAAAGCAGTAATATCCTTTGTCAGACATCCGAAGGACTGAAGCACAGCCCCTCTGGCTCCTTTGTCAGGGGATAGCTGCCGTAGCATGTGCTGTAGAATTGCCCAGGGCACCATAGAGTTGCCTTTGCTGTGGAGAATTCTGTCAGGTTCTGCTCTTGAGTGGTCTTCCAAAGGTTTTCTTTTTTCATTCATTTTCACGGTGTGTGGACATCATATCTTGACTATAAAGAGTGGTAAAACAATACAGAAGTGTGATTCTCCTCTTTCAGGATGTGACTCTTGACCTTGTGGAATTGACTTTTAAGGATCAGTACATTGGCCGTGGGGATATGTGGCGACTAAAGAAAAGTTTGGTAAGATATGATTATTTTAATGACACAGTATATTGTCTGTGACACGAATTGTCCTTGTTCATCATATAAATTCAGAGCCATCCAAATAACTTCTGATTCTAGCATCCACAAGTAGGTACTGTAAATATTTGGCTATATCCTTTTCTATTTTTTGTTTATTTTATTTATTTATTTCCAGAGCTAAGGACAGAACCCAGGGCCCTCAGTGGCAAGCGCTTTACCACTGAGCTAAATGCCCAACCCCTATTTTATTTATTTTTATGTGTATGACTATGGCATGTTTACATTTATACTATGTGCATGCTTAGTACTGTCACCATCCAGAAGAGGATATTGGATCCTCTAGAATAGCAGTTACAGACTGAGATGCCATGTGAGTGCTGGGAACCAAACCTGGGTCTTCTGTAAGAGCAACAAGTGCTGAGCCATCTGGCAACCCCATCCCCACTCCTCATCCCATTTTTTTTTTTAAAAAAGATTTATTTATTTATTATGTGTACAATGTTCTGCCTGCATGTATCCCTTTAGGCCAGAAGAGGGAGCCAGATCTCATTACAGACAGTCGTGAGCCACCATGTGGTTGCTGGGAATTGAACTCAGGACCTCTGGAAGAGCAGCCAGTGCTCTTAACCTCTGAGCCATCTCTCCAGCCCTCCTCATCCCATTTTTACAGGGTCTCAGTATGTGGACTTGGCTGGCCTGGAGCATGCTGTATCAACCAGGCTGGCCTGAACTCCCAGAGATACACATCTGCCTCTGCCCCCTGAGTGTTGGGATTAAAGGCATGTACCATCAGACCCGCCTATTTATTTATTTTTAATGAATCTTTTCCATGTAAAATGCCCACTTCATCAGAATTGTGACCCTGTACTGAAAACTCTTTGGTTTTGCATATTATGAAGGAACAAGTTATATGAAGAATTTCTACACAAAATATATTTTCTGGGGAAAAAATATCAAATAACCAAAACCTTAATGGGCTAGGAACATAGTTCAGTGGTAGAGCCTTTGCCCAGTATATGTGAGGTACTAGGTTCAATTCCCAGCAGCAAAATAAAAATAAATAAATGAATGGAAATTAAGGGTTTTGTTTTTTTTTTTTTATTAATTGGGTGAAAGAGGTTTCTGTTTCTTTGAGCTCTCTCAGTGGTAGAGTACTCACCTTGAAGCCCTAGGTTTGACCTCTGGCACTGAAAAAAAGAATTTCGAAGTGGAAAGATAATTTGTACTACATTTAGTATATGAATGTAGAGACCTGTGTAAACATTTGTGAAGATCAATGTATTCCTCGGGCTGCACTTACTGTCTGCCTGTCTTCACTGTTTGTACTTGCTAAATTCTTAAGCTCCAACTGTACAGCTCTGGACTTCGCTGTTGGAGGAGATTGACCAGGCTGGCCTGGAACTCACAGAGATCCACCTGCCTCTGCCTCCCAAGTGCTAGGATTAAAGGTGTGAGCACCATGTCCAGCCTTTCGTTGTTGTTGTTGGGGGAGGAGATTTTAAAGCCAGGAGCTCTTGTGTGTGACTGTCCAGGGCCTGATGGGTTGAGTCCTTTTGTTTTCTCCTTCCCTTAGGTAAGCACTTGTGCCTATATCACTCAGAAAGTGGAATTTGCTGGCATCAGGTAGGTATCGTGGCATTCTGGACTTATTGGATGGGAAATGGAAGTAGAATTTAATACAGGAAGTCAGCTGAATAAGATACTTGAGGCATGTGGATCTTCATACAGTAAAGTGCGCAGGAGTTTGAAGTGCTAGACTGCTGTGATATGAGTGAAAAGGTACCAAAGTACCTGACGGCAGTTTTAGGATTGTTTTATGAGTTTGCTTTTTGTAATTTTGGGATCTAGTCTCATGTAGCCAGGCTGGCCCCAGTTTTACTGTGTTGCCCTGACTTTTCCAATGCTAGATGACAGGTGCATGCCCCCATACCTGGCTGTTTTCAGAATTACCGTAAGAGGTGGCAGAAGCTACTGGAGCAAGAGGTTTGAGTTACATATATTAGAAATGGAACTATTTTCTATGAACATGTTATCACACATTCTGAGGGTCTCTGTTCTCTAAAGGCCCCAGTTTTCTAGACCTGTATGTTTTCTATGGACTTCTGATGTGCGTATTCAGGACACCGGAAGCTGTTTATAGTAGATAACCTGCTCATGGAGCTCTCTTTGGAGAGGTATAACTGATCAGGTCATTTGAGTACAAGTGAACTAGAAGACAGACACAGAAGGCTAGCTTGGACCCCATAACAAGACTAGTTCAGAAGACAGACACAGGAGGCTAGCTTGGACCCCATAACAAGACCAGTTCAAAAGACAGCAGGTGAGCGAGCCACCTGAAGAGAGGTATAATAATAATTTGTATGTGTATCTCCTTTCAGGGCGCAAGCTGGTGAGCTGTGGGTCAAGAATGAGAAGGTCATGTGTGGTTATATCAGTGAAGAGACCAGGGTAAGATTTACAAAGTGACTTTTTGGTTTTGTTTCCTTATACTGTATGTATGTCTGAGTACTGAATTCAAAGCAAAGAAATAAGAAAAATCTTATGATTGGTACCATCTGCCCAGCTAGAACTGGTCCTCTATTGTTCCTGTATTTTATAGTTGGGTCTTGGCAGGTTGGAATTGATCTTCATTTTCTTCTTCCAAATGAGTCTATTTAATATATTAAATACAGGACTGGTTGTGGTGGCTCTTGCTTATAATCCCAGCACTGAGAAGGCTGAGGCAGGAGGATGACTGTGAGTTACAAGCCATTATGGGCTATATAATCCGTTCCAGTCTGGGCTACATAATAAGACATCCTGAAGTTCTCTGGCACTGTTCCTACTCAAGTGTTTGTCCATTCAAATTCAGTGAAAAATTTCCAGTTGTAAGAAATTATAATCTGGTACAATAGGTATGTTCCTGTGTTCCAAACTACTTAAATTGAGGAGAAGCTGGACATGGTGGCACATGCCTTTAATTCCACACAGACAGACAGATCTCTGAGTCCAGTCAGTCCAGCCTGATCTAGAGAGCTAGTTCTAGGACAGCCAGAGCTACACAGGAAGGCTCTAATCTTGAAAAACCAAAGTGAAGAAGAGGAAGCTGAGGAGAGAGAGGACACCTTGGTCAAAAATAGGATAATCTGATTATAAGAACAACAACGTAATTTTTTTTAAGTCAGGGGCTATTGATTTGTAGTCCAGACTTGTCTTGAACTCTCAATCCTGTATCCACCTTGGGAGTGTTGAAATCATAGTTGTTACTACCATCCTAGCTTGGAGAACAAGATACCTGTGTATGAAAAGAAATTAGCACTATTGAGTTGGGGATGAACCTTAGTGGTAGAGTGTTGCCTAGTGTGACAAGACCCTGGATTCAATCCCTAGTACCAAAAGGGAAAGAAAAGAAATTAGAATTATGAAATCTACTATCTGGGGAATTGGCTCATTGGGTAGAAGCATTTGCTGTGTGTGCCTGATGATAGGAGTTCAGGTCCTGAAAACCCATGTGAAAGCCATATGCTGGAGTGCCAGCATCAGTATCCTTGTATGCTCCTACAGGGGAGGTGGGAGGTGAGAGGAGAATCCTCAGAAGCTCCCGGGCCAGTTCACCTGGCTTATGCATCACTGAAGAGACCCCACCTCAGCATGGAATGATGAGGACTGTATTCAAAGATTGGCCTCTGACCTCCTCCTGAGTGCCAGTGTGTGTGCCTGCACCTATTTAAACTCGTACTCTCCTCCTTACCCACCTCTGTGTCTCTCTCTCTCTCTCTCTCTCTCTCTCTCTCTCTCTCTCTCTCTCTCTCTCTCTCTCTCTCTCT